GCATTTTTAATGTCCAACTGGTAAAGGGGCCATTGACAAATGGTAGCCATAGCAAGAAAAATACAAACAGTACTGGTTTTGGCCATAGGAGAAAAGGTATCACAATAGTCGAGGCCATAGACTTGAGTATACCCCTTAGCTACCAGACGAGCTTCGAGACAATCGATTGCACCAGTAGGACCAACCTTAATAGCATAAACCCATCTACAACCAACAGGCTTCTTACCAGGAGGAAGAGGAACAAGGTCCCAAGTGGATTTCATCAATCATTTGTCACCATCCAGGATGACCAAGTGCATCACGAACATTATTGGGAACCTTTTTGGAACATAAGGAGGAAACAAAAGAGAAATATGGAGGAGACAAAGGATGATAACTCAAAAAATTATAAACAGGATAAGGATTATGAGTAGAGCGAATACCTTTCCGAAGGGCAATAGGCTAATTATTATCTAAGTCAAGAGAGGGTGAGGAGGATGAATGATCCATGGTTTGGGAATCTGATGGAGGAGGATATGAGTCTCGACGATCTTCGGTGTTCTGAGTTTGAGATTGTGTTCGATGCTGATATGTGAGAAGAGGTGGAGGAACAATGTCATTTGCATTTTGAGTTTGAGGTAAAGAAGCAGGAGTAACCAAGGGATCACATGATGGTAGAGGAAACATTTGTTGAACAAATGAACGGTCCTCCATGGAGGACAAGAAAAAAAGGTGTATCCTCAAAGAATGTGACATCAGTAGACATATAATACCTCTTGGTTGAGGAAGAATAACATTTATACCCTTTCTGAAGACGAGAGTATCCCAAAAAGACACACTTAATAGCTTTTGCAGAGCGTTTATCAAGACTTGGAGAAACATTATGAACAAAACAAGTATATCCGAATATACAAGGAGAGACATGGTATAGAGGGTCATTTGGAAAAATGACAGAGTGAGGGACTTTATGAAGAAGGCATCCTATTGATCAGAAAACAGGCAGTGAGGACTGCATCACCCCAATGATGAACAGGAACAATGGTATTCAACATCAGGGAGCGTGCAGTTTCAATGAGATGTCTATTCTTTCTCTCTGCAATGCCATTTTGTTGTGAAGTGTGGGGACATGTTGACTGGTGTAAAATTCCTTGGGAAGATAGGAATGAAGAAAATGCTACAGAAAAATATTCCTTAGCATTATCACTACGAAGGATTTTAATTGTCTTCCCAAATTGGTTCTTAATTTCATTAATAAAAGAAACAAATATGGACAAAAGTTCAGATCTCTCTTTCATTAAATAAACCCAAGTACATCGAGAGAATTCATCAATGAAGGTTACAAAATAATTAAAATCAAAAGAAGTAACATGACTTGGTCCCCAAATATCAGAGGAATTAATTCCAATAGAAGAGCCCATTTTAAAACTGTAAGAAGAAATGGGACTTAGGGTTTCAAATAACGTGAGGGAGGAAACCCTAGGTATGAGCCCAAGCCAACGAAACGGAGAAACAAGAACCAAAACACACTACGGCGACTGCGGAAAGCAGAGCGAACTACGGACAGCAGAGAAATGACAAAGAGACGACGGCTTCGATGATGATAGACGAGGAAGACAAAGAGGTTCGGCTCTTGATACCAACTTGAAGAGTTAGAGAAGCTGAAAAGTCTTATTTTTCACTTAGTATATCTGATACAACTTACTACTGTATTTATAGGAGACAGTAGTTCTAAAAAGTAAAAGGGCAGGAAGTCCCTAACAAAACCCTAACATAAATATTAATTATAATAAAGAAATTATATTTCAACAACTACAAAACAAAATGAGTTGCAGAAAGGACGAATCATCATCTCCTAAAAGTAGCTAGAGCTTTGTTTTCCAAATGCCTTTTCTCAAAACATACCAGGGAGAAGTTGTATTAACTGCCACATGTCTCATTAACATCTCATTAACAGGTTCCCAAGTTGTGTCTTAAATGGCATCAATGCTATTAAGTGTATATTATCTTTTTACTCTTCTCCCCTAGTGTCAACCTTGTTATTGGTCTTTGGTTGTGTTGTTTTCCTTCACTCTCATAATCATAATTGAAATAAATTGGATCTTATAGCTCTTAAATATGTTTTCATAAAGAGCACAAATGTTATCAACCTCAGAGTCATCATGTCTCTATCTCAATGGATGTCACTTATCATGAAACAAAATCCTTTTTATATGTCCTTCGCTTGAGGGAGGAAGCACTTGAAGCAAAGGATCTCTACTTCTTGTCATTAGATTTAAGTGATAGAGCTACCACGAGTAGGATAGAATCACTTGATAGTAAAGAAGAACTCAAATTCTATGGGAAAAATATCAAAGCCGACCCACTTTGTCTATAAAGCAAGAAGAGTTGTCTCCCTTAGAGGTGTGGAACCATAAAGGTAACCGTGAAGAGGTAAATGTTACTAAGGATTTACCCATTGAGTTGAGAAAGAGAATAAGATCATGTCTTAAATATCCTATTTCTCATTATATATGCACTCACAATCTCTCTAATAGACATTGAAGTTTTATTGTTGCGATTGATGCCACAAAGCCTACCTTGATCTAAAAAACTCAATGAAAAATGAGCACTTGACTCAAGCCATGGGAGAAGAGATGGAGGCATTGGAAAGAGACTCAACATGGGAGATTGTTGAGAAACCAAAAGACAAAAAGGTTGTGGGGTGCAAATAGATATTTACAATAAAACATAAGGTGGATGGGGAGTAAAGAGGTATAAAACTAGATTGGTTGCAAAGGAGTATACTCAAACTTATGAAATTGACTATGAGGAGACTTTTTCACCCATGCCAAAAATGAATATAGTTTGAGTTGTTCTTTCTTTGGCAACTCATTTTGGATGGACTTGTACATGTTGGATGTGAAATATGTCTTTCTTCATAAAGCTTAGAAAATTTGTACCTGGAAATTCCACCTTGATTTGATACTCATAGTGAAAGGGATTAGGCTTGCCTCCTAAAGAGGGCCTTACATATGGTCTTAAACAATCTCCAACAGTATAGTTTAGGAGATTTACAAAAATAATGGTGTTGGAAGTCCCACATCGACTAGAGATAAGGTCAATTTATAATATATAAGTGGATGCAAACCTCACCATACAAGCTAGTTTTGTGGGGTTGAGTTAGGCTTAAAGTCCACTTCTTAACATGGTATCAAAGTCAGGTTAGAGCCTATCCTAGCAAGATTTGTGTTGTTGGCAATATTGTTCCACCCGCTATCAGACCACCCATTAATGTCTAGTCCCACATTTGAGATGTATATACCTCGGCGTGAGGGGATTGTGTTGGAAGTCCCACATCAACTAGAGATAAAGTCAATTTATAGTATATAAGTGGATGCAAACCTCACTTTAGAAACCGGTTTTGTAGGGTTGAGTTAGGCTTAAAGTCTACTTCTTAACAAATGGTTTCCTTAAGATATAAGCAAAGTCAAGGAGATCATACTTTATTTGTAAAGCACACCATTACATGATTATTGTAAGAGATGATGAAATAAATAAATTGGGTTTAAAGGAAAAATTCACATGCCAATTTGATATGAAAGACCTAGAAACACTCAAGTATTTCCTTGAAATAGAGGTTGCTTATTCTAAAAAGGCTAGCCATCTAGAGAAGCAATAAGCAAGATAGAGTATCTTGTTCAACTGCAAAAGTTGAATTGTAAACCCCTACTCAAGGTGTGTGTGAAGGACTTTAGATGAAGATCATATTAGATTACCTTAAAATAAAAGTTGTCATCCATGTGCAATTGTACTGTGATCATAAGTCACCCGAAAGCATTGCTCATAATTTCACGATAGGACCAAATATATTAAAATTGATCGAGAAAATGTGGTCACAACCAATGTGCCTAACGAAAGTTAGGAATGATCAATATTCATTTACTAACTTGAAGGGAAATGTTATAAATAAGGGATTATAGGAATAAAAATATCATAATATCTCTATAGTTATTAATAAAATATCCCTTGAATCTACACATTCATTTTAGCTGATTTTATTTCCTCTTTTAGAAGGGATCAATATTCATTTACTAACTTGAAGGGAAGTGTTATAAATAAGGGATTATAGGAATAAAAATATCATAATATCTCTATAGTTATCAATAAAATATCCCTTGAATCTACACATTCATTTTAGCTGATTTTATTTCCTCTTTTAAAAGAGTGTGATTGTTACAAATAGAGGGGTTGAGAATGTAATAGTTATACTTGTAATAAATAAAATATTTATTTTCTCTGTTTTTTTGTCAAGTCCTGTCATAAAATAATTACCCAACTGATGACTATTTGTACAAGTAACAATTGCAGATCAGACTTCTTGATGATGTATTGAGTTCATCAAATATGAACATTTGACGTATTTAATTTTGGTCTTCCTAGACGTATACCCTCACAAGAAGTGAACCAACCAAAGTCAAACAGTGCTTGAGTATAATGAATCCATTCCCAACTTCTTGGATTTAAACAAAGCTTTTTTGAATTTGTCCATTACTAATCTATTCACCCTATCAAAATAAATTCGTTACCAATTAGTCAAGCAGTTAAAAATAATAATTTTATCCCACACCACAGCTAGGAAGATCTAATACTTCAATGAACCTCACATTCTAATAAAAGTCATTCGGCATGTTGTTCCATCAAGACAGATAGCGAGCATAAACTTAAGGCCTACTTGTTTTACATCAATAATCAATTTCCCACACTGTGCCCATGTCCCAATGTTAAATTTGTGGTCAAGATGAATATTGGCACACATACCAATTACATTCAACTGACCTAAATCACTTCTATCCAAATCAACTATACTCAACTTTAGAACAAATGAGTACTAGGAGATTAGCCATTCAATATCATGCAAACAATTGGTTTATAAATACAGAAAAACAAACACACGGGTTGAATTGAATCCACAAATATACATGAGAAGCAGAACATATATTACTGAATACACCATATCCATTATCCTACATATATGTGCTTACCAGTTGCACACAGAATACAGCCCCCAAGAGAATACCATGCTTTAGTTGAATTCCTTGCAAAGAAATAATATATGTGAATAGGATTAAATGCCCTCAAGACACTGCTGTCATATTTAACAAGGTTATATATACCAATGCCCGCCAGAGAACAAAACCATATAAACAAAGCAGGCACTACAACAAGCCCCACTTTACTTGTTCCATATTTCTGTACACTGAACAAAACGATAAGGCAGGCAACAGAAATCATCACCACTTCATCTGCATAATAGAGGAAAAAGAAGAAAAGATTAATTCAACTTCAAATTATGCTAAAATAACAATATTTAGCCAAATTCATCTACAGTCTCTACCAGGATTACCTAAACTCTAAGAACCTCATCCCATACCATTACACTTTGGTTGGAATAACATGCAGAGCAAAAGAATTCTACAAATACATGACTCAATCTGTTCAATGCTAGGACCAACGCATAGTTCAGACAATATTATAAACAAAAAGGCAGCCACAAACACTATGTTTTATAGGAAAAGCTCCAAAAAATTATTCCATAGAAGAAGGACAGAAATCAAAGTTCTCCAGTTGTGTTTGTGCATAACAACCTAAAATGCAAGTGTTAATTAATAACTATTGAATATAAATTTGTTAATAGGTTAGTGTGATACCTTGTTTAATTGCATCTACCCCAACCTTCAAACCATTAACAGATGATAATACTGCAGAATGAAAAAGATATAAAGAAAGAATTAATATGAAGAAATAAAGAAAAGAAGTGGTTACTGAAGAACAACAGTGACCAGGTACAAAAGCAACAGGATGTCATTACATTACAAGTTTGACATTGGCTTCAGTCAAACATAATATGACAAAATATAATTGTAAAAGAAGTTATAGAAGATATGACGCAACAGCATTAAGCAACCTGACATTGCCGGCGTAACTACCCCATTAGCTATCACCATGGAAATACCAGCAAGAACTAATAATAGTAGAATCTTCTTAAGAGTCAGCGAATTCTCTAATCTTTCCTTGATTTTTAAAGACCTTTCAAGCTCGGGAGATGGCACCTTCAGTCTAAAGCCCGATATTCGGGCATCCGATCGCAACTGATTGGGAAGAAGACTCACCTTGGCATTTCGACAAATCAACGAGTATAATGCAAAGGTACCACCTGCGGTGGTTATAAATAAGCATAAACTTGAGTGCAGAACCCCGTGTGAAAAAGAGAAAGAACAGAAAATAATACCGAATATTTCTCATTAAAACACCCAAGTTAACATACCTTCCCCATCATCATTGGCCCAAAGAACAACAAGCACATACTTCAGTAAAGGAATCAAAATTAAAGTGTACAAAACAAGTGATAAAGCTCCAAGAATATCTTCATTTCCATTAATAGGAGCCTTCCTGAACATAACACTGAACGTATACAAAGGACTCGTTCCAACGTCACCAAAAACAACACCGAGAGTTTGAAAAGCCAACAGAATCCCCTTCCCCACACTAACATCCTGTAACAACACACAAATCAACCACGACAAGCAATAAGAGAATGCAAACAACACAAAACAATGCGCATCACCAATACATCACAATTGAACACTTCATAAGCGGGAAATCAAGCTCGGAATCACCTCGTAGTCGTTTCTCTGAGCGCCGGGAACCTCGAGAGCCTCGACATCAAATGAATCGATTCGCGGACCGGTGCGAACGAGTCTATGCTCGCCATTGTCCTCGTCCTCAGAATCAAACATAGGCTGGTGGCGTAAATCGGCGGCGTCGAAGTCCTCGATCTCAGAGGGATACTCATCCTCCTGGAAAATCCACCGCGATTCGTATGATTCGGGATCGCCCTCGCCACCCAGGGAATGAAGACTCTTGGTTTTAGGGTTCGCCATGGGAAATTGAAATGGTAGTGATGATTACTGATTACTGATTGAGGTGAATTGGAACGAAATCCGGTGCTTAGTCGTAACTGAAATTCTGTATTTGGGATACTGAATCAACAACCGCAACATGAGCTGGCTGTGCACTGTCTTCGTCTCTCTGTGTATCAGTGTGGATGGAGCAATGCACGAATTGAAAATTTTCGTGTCAAGAATTTCATCTATCTCTATTGATTGTGAATCTTCTGGAAGTGCTGTGTAGAATAATCAGTTAAAGAAATAGGTAACCTTTTTTGGTTAAATAAGGAGAGAGGTAGGTGATAGTTGTTTCCCACTTTTCCTAATACGGAAGGGAAAAGAAGTAATAGTTTTTTACAGTGTGGTGTTCATTATTAATATCCAATCAATCCATAGTAGTCCTAGCATCTAATCCAAATTAATTAAGTTTATATTACTTCACATCAATTTGTTTTTAGTTTTAAATTAAAATGGAATCATGATCAGAAAGATATATAAGTCATTACTACGATTTTAGAACTTAATTATAAAGTTAAAGTATTTATTTAATTTAAGATTATTATATTTATATTTTAGAATTCAAAGTCATCTTTTGCCTTATGTGTTTTTTTTTCATCTGTTTGATTTTATTACAAGTAATTTTATTATAATTTAAATAAATTATATAAGAGAATTTCAATATGTAAAAAATAATTTTAAGTCATACGGGTTATCTTAGAATTAGTATTTTATACAATCCTATCGTTTAAGATTGCACTATAATAATACTATTTTTCCTACTTAGAATTAGTATTTTATTAAAGGAAAATAATACTTGAACAACCATTTTTGACAACATTTAGACACGCGCACACGTGTCAAAATCTGAGTGATCCATTTTCATTTAATTTTTCCAACTGGACCACTCAGATTTTGACACGTGTGCGCGTGTCTAAATGTTGTCAAAAATGGTTGTTCAAGTGTCATTTTCCTTTATTAAATTATTTATATTGATACTGATAACATTGATTCAAGTACTTATAATCTTATACTTATAATCTTATTTAAGAGGTTCTAAGAAATTAATATAGTTTAAATAAATTAGTAATTACATATGCAGTGCACTATATGTGCAGTAAGTTCAAATTAAATTACTAGTTTAATATTGTTTACTGAGACATTTATTTTTTTGTTTGTATTCTCTTAGTAGCGTCTAGTATTTACTCAATTAATTGAGTATAGGTGTATTTCTTGCTTTAATAGTTATAAGTACGTATAAATAAAATGAGAAATAAATAATAGGGTTCTTTTAAAATGAGATAAAATTGAAAGTAAAAAATGTAAAACTTAGAAGATTGATAAAAGAATAAATTGGTGGCACCTTTATTCTTGTGAGTGGAATGTTTTTTTAGTAGTAATAGTGGTAAGAAATTTTGAAAGTCGGGTTCAACCTTAAATCCTAAATGTTAAAATGAGAATAAAATTGAAAGTAAAAAAAATGTAAAACTTAAAAGATTGATAAAAAACATTTGTGGCACATTTGATCTTGTGACTTATGGTTTTATTTTTAATAGTAGTAACGTGTTTGTTTCTCTAAATTTTGAATCTCTCTTTTCTTCTGTTTTTTAAACTCTAATTTTAGAAATTTAAAGTTGTGTTTTTTTAAAGTAAAAGACAATAAAACATAAGGAATAAAATTAAAATATATTGAGAGAGAAAATTGGTATGATAGGGTAAAACTTTGGTCAAAGGAAGATCACGAACTTTATGAGAAGGTCTAAGTGACTAAAAATATTGTTAACGTCAGCTTAGACTTAACTCATATATGGTTACAATTTTTCTTTTTATATATATATTGATTATTTATCTCATTATTTAACAATGTGTGAGTTTAACTCATTTAAATACCAATATTTATTCATTCAAATAAGAGTTTTTTTTCATATTGTAAGTTAATTCCTTCAGTTAAAATTGACTTTAATAATAATAGAAGTAGATTACTGTATAAATATATATAAAAGAAATGAGTTTCGAACTACCACAAAATCATTATCAACCTAAAAGTAGGGTTAGTAATGTTGATTATCTCAACCCATTTTTGGTATGTCTCACATTTATCTCATAAAGAATAAGTTAGACGGTTTCATTTTATATAAAAATACATTTTTTACTCATTTTGCATAATATTTGATCATAAGTCAATTCATATAAAGAATTATTAGTTTTGTAATTTTTTTTCTTTAGTTATACAATGTAAAATATTAAAAAAATATTAAAGTTCAAGGTTTTAATAACCTTATTTTAATACAATTAAATTACTAAAAATAATAAATCCTATAAGTTTATTTTATTAAAATAAGTAATATTCAAAAATTTATAATTTCTAGTTTTTAAGTATAAGTCTGTTAGAAATTTCATAGTAGATGTATATTATTGTGAAAAAAAAAATAGTACATAAAAGGAAAACCAAAATTAAATATTTTCTATACATAAATGATACACAAAGCAATGAAATCACAAAAATAAAGAAAAGAAAAACTAGCATATACCAAAATTTTTAACATGTGAAAAAGGAAAAATCTACAGGATAAAAAAAAATATTTTCTTCATTAACAAGGTGGATAATAGCACAAGAAAACTTCAATGGGTACTTAACCAAACTACATGGAGAACCCCAATATAATAAAACATTTTCTCCAAACTAACTTCTTCGAATAGATTTGCACAAGATACATTGGTTGCTCTATTCTTCTTATCCACCCTATGGTGGCTTCTTCTCTTTTTTTTTTTCTCTTACTAGAGGCACTTAGAACTTTTCTTTATCTTTCTCTCTTGAAAACATGATGCAAAGGGTTGCATAACTTTAAATTGCATAATGGACTAGTAGCGCATAAAGAAAAATATATTTTTTCATTTATTTTTCTTAATTAAGTTAGTGCGGGCCTAATAAATTGGTGACCCAGCTGAAATTTCTTCCTCTCACTAATTAATTGAGATCATAGTCAATTAAATTGGTTTTTTCGTTACAACTAGCAAAAAAAAATTTCAATTAAGATCTTTGTCATCATATCTAATCCATTCTCGTAAGTATGAATTTTCTAATGATAATTGCTTCATCTTTAATGCATCATCTTCAATATCCTTTGACCTTGAATGAAAAGTTTAAGTTTTGCTAAGATGAATTACATGACTATCATAATACAAAACACATTTTTCTTGTAATAATCTCAACTCTTGTAAGAATTTATGAATCCACAGGAGCTCCTTAGCAACTTTTGTAACAACAACATATTTTGCCTATGTAAAATATGGAGAAACACATATTTGTAGTCTAGATTTCCATGACATTGCTCCCCCTGCAAAGGTCATCATGTAACCAAAAGCAAACTTCCTATAATCCACATCATTAGCCATGTATGCATTTGTGTAACCATTTAACATAGGCTTACCAGTTTCAGAGAATAAACAAACTCTAGAAGTACCTTTGAGATACCTAAGCACTCATTTCATAGATTAACAATTCTATTTCCCATTATTATAAGGAAGTGACTCACTACACCAATAACATGAACAATTTTCGGCCTTGTCCACACCATAACATACATCAAACTATCAACTATAGATGAAATGCAATCTTCTACATTTCTTCTTTCTCTTTCTCACTTGTAGGACAATGCTTTGAGCTCAACTTAAAGTGACTTGCAAGTAGAGTGTTAATTGGCTCAAAATTGTTCATATTGAATCTCTTTAATTCTTGTTCAGTATATTTTTTGTTGGTACAACCACAACTTTCCATTCTTCGTATCACGAACAATTCTCACAAACAATTTTCATCCTTGTATTTCAAGTTTACTAGTTTTTTAACAAGGAATGTCTTGTTTAAGGAGTTTTTAGACTCAAACAACAAGCTTAATATCTTCCATAAGTTGTAAGCTAAGTATCATCTAATACATGTTGATAATTTGATTAATTTATCCATTGTCTGATCATGATAATAATCTTTTTATTTATTTTGTTCCAATCCCCCCTCGTATTTATCTACTGTTTTAACAGTTTGTTCCTCAATAAGACCATGAAGGTCTTTGTTGAAGTACTTGAAAAACACTATAAGAGAAGTTGAATAATGTTAATGGAAAACATTTTCACAACCCTTCTGATATAGCACGCTATCAAGCTCTTGAAATATTCTTTTGAAAGCTTAGATGCTTGACTTGAGATATATGTATAAATGTTGATAAGTTTGGCGTGCTATTCAGAATATATCTATTCTAGTGTTTTGTAAGAACTTCCTTAAGGAAAATAATCGTTTAGCGTGGAAGTTCCTGTATTTAAAATATAAAGTTCAACTGAAGGTTTTTCAAGAGGATCATTTAGTTAAGAGAAGAGAAAATAACACAAGAGATTTTATATTGGTTCACTCTAATTGAGCTACATCTAGTCTCCTCCGCAGAGGGTTCCACTATAATCTTCAAACGATTACAAATGAGTATTAGCACCACTCTTGGTACTCAGCTACCTTGTTGAGATTTCCTCTGAGTATTAGCACCACTCCTAGTACTCAACACCCTATCGAGATTTCCTTTGAGAATTCGCATCACTCTTAGTACTCAACAACTTGTCGAGATTTCCTTTGCGTATTTAAACCACTCTTGGTACTAGACTATCGCGCCTAGATTCCTCAACTTAAACAGAGTTCAGTTGTAAGTGTTTTAATTCTCTTGAGAATTGCAATCAACAATTACTTACAAGTAGTTCAGACTATATCTCTCGATGAGAGGATTTGAATACAATACAATGAAGTCTAAGCACTCATAGTTCTTTCTCTCTTCTCTCTACAATAGTAAACAATTTGATAATGAAGCTTGAGAGTATCTCTTTTTCTTTTTCTCTTTTCTTCTCTTTTCTTCAGCTTAGATGTATTCTTTTTCTTGAGCTCTTTCTCTTTTTCTCTTCAAGATGAATATGTCGTTGTAAGCTTTTCTTTCTTAAGATTTTCTCTTAAGTTATCCTCTTGATTTTCTTTTTTAGAGATCTTCTATTTATAGGCTTCATGAATATTTGTCCGTTAAACTGAGTTTGTAGTTTATAGCCTTTATACTTGTGTTTTCTCTTTCTTCTTTTCACAGCAGTCGTTGTGTAAGTAAACTTTGTTAAAGCAAGGATGCTTTTTCAGTCTTTTTGCTTCAAGTGAGAAACATTTCGTGAATATCTCTTTTGTCTCAAACGTCCACATTTTGATATTTGAACTGTAGCACTGTGGATGTATATAGAATGGCTTAT